GTAAAAAATACTTTTTTAAAGAAAGATGTCAAAAAATCGGCTTTGAATTTGACGTACGAATGTGACGTAACAATCCCTTGATTAATTAGCCTTCACTAACAGAACAACATCAGACACAACATGTATTTGTTAGTGTAAATGTTAGCTGCATTACGTTACAGATTTTCATCTCCCACCTATTACATATTCGCCCCGCTCTTTTCTCTTTTTTCCATTCTAGACGCTATATAGGCCGACCAATGCATCATTGATGTCAGTGTCAGTCAGACAGAGATATAGAGTTCACACACACGCTGCTGAGAAGAATTTCAGATGATCGCGGTATAGTTATAATTGATAGTGGAAAAAGTTCAACTGTGAAAAATGAACGTAACGGACGACATCGAAGAATATTATAAAGCTGCCGAAGGACTTGTTCTAACGGCGGGAAAAGTACGAATGTATTACCATTTCGTATACGTACAGATAACAATCATCTGTTTGTGTTTCTGATAAGAACAACAGTGATATCTAAAACTTTCCAACAAATGTTTCAGATAATAGAGGGTGCAATTAATTTAAATAAAAATATAAAAATCAAAGGAATTGAATGGGATCTCGTTACGGAGTACGATCGAAGAATAGAGGATGATTTAAAAAGACAATTATCAAATATGTATCCACAGCACAAGTATGTACACATATTACATAAAAATCTCAAAATGTTTAAATTTAATGATAAAATGAAGAAACTTTCAGGTTTATTGGTGAGGAAACGACTGCAGAAGGAAATTGTTTGCCAAAATTAACAGATGAACCAACATGGATTATAGATCCAATAGATGGTACAACAAATTTTGTTCATCAATTTCCACATACATGCATCTCTTTAGCGTTAGTTATAAATAAGAGGATAGAAATTGGAATTGTCTACAATCCATTGATGAAACAATTCTTCTCTGCAAAACGACAGAAAGGAGCTTTCTTGAATGGACACCCAATAAAAACATCAAAAGTAACAGGTGAACTTACTTAAGTAAGGCATTAATGATATCATGTATATGCGTATGTATACATGTACATACATGAATATTGAATTAAGTTTTATTTGGAAATACTACTCTTTTAATCTTTGTTACATGAAATTTCAATATTTTCTCATTGTTTCAGATCTGTCTCAGTCACTAATCGCAATGGAACCATGGATTGCCAAAGACTCTGATTATTTAGTTCCTATATACACTCGTATGCATGCTTTAATTCAAGGGACTCATGGGTAATTATCTACTTTATTGAAGATGAAACTTCATTTTAAAAAATAATTAAAATAATTCTTTACCATCAGGATAAGATCATTAGGTACAGCTGCTCTTACGTTGTGTTATGTTGCAATGGGTGCAATTGAAGCATACCACGTTGAAGGCATAGAAGCTTGGGACGTTGCAGCAGGAAAATTAATAATAGAAGAAGCCGGAGGAACAGTAATTGATACTTCAGGTATACATTTTCTGTAGATTTCCAATATGTAACTTACTTCATATAAGTTACATTTAATGAAGAATTTAGGCATATAGATCATATACCTTAATTTGACATAATTTCAGGTGGAGAACTAGATTTAATAGTTCCAAGAGTTATAGCAGCGTGCAATCATCAAATTGCAGATCAACTAGTCGATCTCTTTAAAAGTGCCGATTTGGAAACAGTCAATAAAAATCTAAAATAAATATTTGCAAAGGACGCGAGAAAACCAATAAATACAGTATTAAATGCAGAAAATATTTAACAGAGATGTGTAATTATTAAATCAAGTTCCTGGAACAAACATAAAGATTTCTGGTATATGAATATTATTTCTAACATTCCATTGTATTATTTTTAGAAAATGAAAAATCTGACAACTCATCTAGGTTTATAATCGATGCAGAAACATGCAGCAGATTCAGAGGTATTGCAAACTTTGCACTTAAAAGAGATTTATGTTAACACGTACCGTTTCCCGATTCTCTTTGCCATAGAAGAAAATTTCACTTTATCCATACGTTTTTGTATATATAAAACGAAATGAATGGTGAAAATTCGCACAAACTTAAATAGAACCGATCAACACACGCTACCGGCCATTTTCTTGCTGTCCATAATACGTTAGTTCATCGAAAATCATGGCCGTCTCTTTGAAGCTATAGCTACGTATTTGCTTTCGTTAGGAAATATTATACATTATGTCTGTTATAACAAAAATGAAATGTTCAGTGTAAATTTAACTTTCCCGTAACCTTAAATTCAAAGATTTGATAAAAATTTGAAATAATTCTTGTTATAATCGTGAATGCGACAAAATATAGGTGGCACCTTTGGTGGCTGTTGGTGGCACGATGTCAATGCGTGCGATGAACGATCATTAACCATCCAACATTCAAGACTGTGAAACCCTCCTTTAGATTTTCGGACATTTAATTGAAATGAAATAAGGTCTACTAAAAAATATACTGAAACTTTATGTTTCGTTTAAAAAGTTCCAATTTTTATGTTATTACTGCTAAGGCTAAATTCAGCTAAGCGGAAAATGATGAACCAACAAGTGTCCAAAGTGTTTATAGTTCATGTTTATGTAATGGGTGTCCCAGTATTGATGGTATACACAAGGTCGGTGGTTATATCAGAGAGGAAATTGAAGAAAATTTCCTGTCGGGCAGAGTTCTCATAATTTTTCGCGCACGACTCGCTTCCCCTCTTTTTCGCCGGTATTTCGATCCCCACTACTATTCTCCTCATGCGCCTTCGCTGTTCGCTGACCATGCCTAGCATACCCCCATCAAGTACCAGTCCCCAAGTCTCCACCATAGTCGCGTCGTCCCCACTTTCCGGCCGAGGGAAAAATTATGAGAACCCTGCTGTCGGGTTGAATGTATCTAAATATGGAATAAATCTTTTTTCACTTGAGTCTTTGTTTACGAGAAGATCGACTTTTAATTTCCTCCAAGTAATATAAGCATGCACTTGACTATATCGTAGTTAAAGGGATTTCGATACAA